TACACTGAGAAATACGAGAAAGGAAATGAGTCAGTAACTCAGAGAGGGAGCTGAGATGAGACAGCAGGGTGAAAGAGTGGATGATTTATCCTAGATTTGGGAGTGGGGTGAGGGCAGCTAAATGATTTGAACAATAGAAGAATTTGATTTTCGAATCAAATCACCAGCATGTGTTAAGTTCTTTTCCGCAGTCCCCTTTTGGCATTCAGGCCTGGAGCCGCCCTGGACATCAGATAAGCTGAGTTTAAAGCACAGCTGGTTAGCTGGCCCACAGAGGATAGGATTTGAATGGCTTTCTTCTCAGAGTTTCTGTGGAGCAATGAGAACTGCTCGCTTAAGAAAGGATCCCTCTTGTACTCGAGTTTTGGGGGACTACAGTGAGTGACACTTTTAATTAACAAATTTGCTGGGAACAAAACTCTTTTAAAAGCTTTGACTGAATGTGGAGTTTGAAGGGTAGACAGAGAAGGCTCCAGCAGTCTAGGGGGAGTTCTGGAACTTGAAGCCATTGTTACAGACCTCTAAAATATGTGGGTCCTGAGACCTTCTAGGCGAATGAATTCACCAGACTGTTTCAGGAAAACCAGGCAAGGCTTTTTATTAGAAGCTCATGCATGACAGAAACCAGTGCCTAGAAGGAGAGTTTGGGCCTGACTCTCCTGGGAGAGCTAAGGAGGAAGGTTTTAAAAGGATAAGCTCACATGGTGGGCCAGAGGGGAGTAACCTAATAGTTGACTCTGAGTTGGGTTACTTCCTGGCATGGGGGCTCTGGGCCTTCCCCTTCTAGGAAATTGTAAGACAGTTATTAATCAGGATTCAGCGCTTTTTGTTGTACTATGGCACCTTTGGCTAGTCTGTATTTCATTTGGGTGGGTAGGATGTTAGAATAAGAGTATAGTTAGTCCACCTGTACAAACAGGACTTTTGGCCATCTTAGCCCAAGATTCAGTTCCTCTGTTTATCCAGGGTCTGGGCAACCCAGTCGATGGTCCAGTTCCCTTATTGGTGATCCACTTTCCTTCATGCTGATAGGCAACTCACATCTCACCAGCTCGCAGTTTCTTTTTTTCCTAAACTGCCTCACTGTGGCTGAGCTGTACCTTTTGGAATCAGACCTATTGGGATGAGTGCCCAGAAAACCCCCACTTCACTGGGCTGTGGGCCACATGAGATAGCAGTCCTTAGGCAAGCTGGGCACAGGCGCTTTGGGTGTAGGGCTTTTTGTACTCCCTGGATAGGGGTGCTACAGCCCACTTGAGCAGGATGGGAAGGGAGATTGGGGGTCCCAACATTTGAGAAGGCAGCATTCTGGCTTCTGAATTGTTCCTCCCATGTATAGCTGAGTGTCTGAGCACAGTGGTGTCCTTAAATGCCTTCCACCTTCTTACAAGGCTGGTTCTCATGCTCGTTCTAGCATTAGGTATCAATAGCCATAGAGTCAGAGGGTCTAAAAAAGGCTCATGAACCAGAGAAGAATTCCTCCTCTTCTGGTACTGTAATGGAACTTGTTTAGGTAGGTCATGTTTACCATGAAAACCTTTTTTTTTTTTTTTTTTTTTAATTAAATTGACCTTCCATGGGATGTGTTTTTTTTTTTTTTTTTAAAGATTTATTTATTTATTTATACAAGAACCGGGTACAGACCAGATGCGCCGGAGGGTGAGAGGCTTCACCAGAGACAGCGGGGAAGGAACAGGCAGACTGACAAAGTACACTACTGAGGGGAGCAGCGGGCCAGGCAGGAGAGGGCTGAGCGCCATGTGGGACCCTCGCAGGCTGGCCGGGATCGAACCGGCGCAACCGGTGCTGCAGCGGCTGCGGACAGCTTCACAGCGTGGCGCTCAAAGGCCTGCGCCACCAGGAGAGGCCCCGAGAAAACAATTTTTAATAGTATGGGTCCTATAGGCTTAAAGGGTTTTTCAGCTGTAATTATTTTGCTAAAGGAAGTTTACTTAACTCTGACATCCTTTTCAATTGATTCCTTATTCTGTAAACCTATGACAACCCCCTGAGGCTACCTATGAGTTTCCACATACCCAAAAGTAGACAAAAGAATTTCATGAAAGCCTTAAACAGAATTACAATTGTTAAACTGAAGGTGTAACTAAAACCATTCTTTCTTTTTAATTTTTTTAAGTTTAGGAAAACGATTCTCATCTCTCTAGTCTTTCCCCCTCTATTTGTGTTTTTCTTAACAAGATAGTCTTTGTTCTTTTACTTTTCTTCTTCCCAGTTCATTTTTTGCTAAGTATTTACTATAGCTAAAGCTTCCTGTTAACATACTGAAATGCCAGGTTATACTTAATTCTGTCTTCTTTACTGAGGCCCAATTTTTTTTTAACTAACGTACACATTTTTTTTCCTTTTTCCTTTTTTTATTTTAACATTTATCATTTTTTACTTTTTTTAGACAATATTTGCTTCCCCCACCCCCTCAGATTGAGTCCCCATAGAATCTCCTTCCCCAAGGCACCCCTGCACCATCACCACAGTCCCCTGTGCTCATCCCTCCCTCCCTCTCACCCCTCTCCCTCTTCCTCCCCTACAGTAGCACTAACATACAGTAGTACTAACATACATTTATAGATCTCTTTGGAGAAACTTCCTGGTTTTCACTCAAAGCGATAGATTACCTCCCCATGGCAACAGCATCTGTCTTAGATGAAATCTGAAGAAATTTAGCAATGTCCAAATTTACTGTGAAGAAGCAGATGCACGGGTTAATTTATATAAAAAAGAATCAGATGCAAGAGAGAAGACAGTACGTTGTATTTTGACTTAGGATTAAACTTAATGATATAACGGTGGTTTTCTATGGTAAACACTCAAAGGTGGCCATTGTAATTCAAAATTGAGGTCTGTTAAACCAAAGGAACAATCTTGCTCCTTTTATGTGACTCTAGAAAGATTTGTCCTGTGCGAGGGTTCACATTGCCAACTGCTTTGGGAGAGGTAAACCTCGTTGCAAGTCTGGAACAAAGGGCTATCTTCCATTTTGGCTATCAGTTGACTGTCTTTCAAGAATATAGAAAAATCTATGATATTGTTAGTTAAAACAAAGTTGTGGCACCAGATGAGTATGTTCATCTTTAAAAGGAAAATGCAATAAACTCTTAGTAAAATAACAGCTTATAGAGTGGTTGAGGTCTATAAGACAACAAAAATAACTTGTGGTGTGATATGGAAGTGGTAGCGGGTGACTGAGGAGCACAAGGGGCCCTGAATTTGCACGGTATGAAAGGGATCTGATAAAAGGCCATCAGTTGTACAAAGGCGACACAGATGCTTAGTGTGAAAGAATTTTAATAGAATTAGTGTGTAGAGAAGAGGAGAAAAAAAGATCAACATCCCAATAAACACCAAAACAACTCATCCTCTTGTGGGCAAATGCCCAGCCAGAGTCAGCCCAAAGCAGGGCCCCTAAGGCCTGAAATCCTGCCACAAGTCTAAGGCACCTTCAGGTGTGGGGCCACAAGAAAGGGGTTAGACAGGCCCCAGAAAACTGGGACAAAAGGAGCAGAATCAGAGTTCAAACCAAGATAATGGATGCAGTTGTCAGCCTCACCACGCATCTCTTTCAAGTGGCTCTACATATCTTTCCTCCACATGTCTCCTTCATGTCTTCTCCCCAGCAGTACTGGGTACAGCAAGCCACAGGAACCTGAGCTCTTCTCTTTTTTCTTCTCTCTTCTCTCCAGAGTCCATTTGCCTTCTGTGTTATGTAACTTCACTTGGCTGCTTACTTCAGTCCATAATTAAATGGTGCAAAGAGCATGGTAATTCCCCCTATTATGGAGCTATCTGTATGAGAGGAGGTAGGCAATGCTGGATGGAGGTCCCGCTCATCTTTTAATTTTTTAAAGATTTATTTATTTATTTATACAAGCACTGGGTACAGTCAGAAGCGCGGGAGAGCCAGAGAATTCACCAGAGACAGAGCGGGGAGCAGAACAGGCAGACTGATGAAGTACACTGCTGAGGGGAGCAGCGGGCGGCAGGAGAGGTCTGCGCCCCATGTGGGACCCTCGCCGGCAGCTGGGGATCGAACCGGCGCTGCAGAGGCTGCGGGCAGCTTCGCAACCCAGCGCTCAACCGTTGCGCCACCGGGGAGGACCTCCCGCTCATCTTTTGAAGATATACCAAGATATATTCATATTGGAAACTCAGGGCAGAAGGTTATGTTGTACTAGTTTTTCTGAGACTGAGTCGTGATAACAAATACTGGAAGTTGAATGTGATGATGAGGTGTGTGGACTATTAATTCTGCTCATGACAATCTAATAATGGCTTCTCCCAGAGAAACCTTCATAGCTCAGCACCTCTATCGGCATAAGCTGGCACTTTCTTACCTTCCTTCACTTAATTTCCTAATGTGTTATGCTTCAGCTACACAATTTTACCTTGCTGGGTAGAACATAAGCTTCTTACAGATTTTTTGTATTATTGTGTCAACCTCACAGGGCCTAAACCTTAGTAGGAGCTCAGTAATGTCATGTTTATGAGTTTGGTGTCAAGGGCTCTGTCTTTGACTGAGGACGGGTGGAGGTGCCCTCATTATGTCAATTATATGAGCTAGGAGTATATGGGAGGCTTGCTGGGCAGAAGAACCCTGGCCCTGCATTGGGAGAGGAGCTCCAGTGATTGGATGTGGACGAAGCATCTCAGGAGCTGGGGGACTCGGGGGAACTCCTTGGGCTGTGGGGGAGGTACACGGGGGACTAGTCTGATCCTGTCTGACCCCTGTTAAGGTGGAAAACCTTTAATAGCTGGACAGCCAAGTCAATGACGTGTGTTCAGAGTCCCTTGTTCAGTGTGGCACAACTTGGATGGAGGGATAAGTGGATATGCCTGACCTTGGATGAAAACAAACACATTGTATTAGCCATTTGTAAGCAGATCCTAAGGGAAGAAGCTGCAGCGTCATTTAACTGTTGTGCTATTATTGGTGATGGTGATAATGATGCTGGCAATTAAACAGATAATTGTTTTCCTTCTTTTAGTCACATAGAAAAAATCACCACATGGCAAGACCCTAGGAAGGTGATGAATCAGCCCCTGAATCATATGAACCTCCACCCTGCTGCCACTTCCACACCGGCACCCCAGAGGTCCATGGCCGTGTCTCAGCCGAATGTCGGTAAGCCCAGCATTTTGACTCCAGGCTGATAAACAGATTTGACCAAGGGCTCTAGAGCCTAGAAGCAGCAATGGTGCCTACTCATGCACCCAGATGGGTTTTTTCCCTCCCTCTTGGCTGTACCCTCTCATCCCTCTCACCACCTTTGCCTTCTTTTCTTCACCTTTTTGCTATGCAGTTTGAAATAGCTCTGCCTAGGTTCACACTACAGTTACAGCATCTCCTCCAATTGTCCTTATAAGAGTTCTTGGAAAAATCTTGGAAAGCCTTCTGTCCTCATCCGGAGTAAGGCAAGTAGGGCACATCACCTCCTTTCTGGGAATTTGGTCCCTGAAGACTGCCAAAGGACATAATTCTGGCTCCCACATCATCCCCCACTTCAAATGTGTGACTGACCTTAGACTGTGTGTTTTCATGCTGTATCTCAGTAAATCCTCACAACAACCCTACAAGAACTGACAGCATTTTTAGAGAGTGAATAGAATCTCCTACTGGATTTTCAGGAGTGAACAGGATAAAAATGGGGACATTGTTCCTAGACACCCTTCCTCATAGGTGGCTTTGCCAAAGTGAGTATGAACTCTAGTAGACCTGAGTCAACTTCAAGTAAACATATTGTGTGTTTTTCCAGGAAGTCTGGACATACCATTTTAAAGCTGGCAGATGTAAAATATATCCCCAAAACAAATGACTTAGAATAACCTCTGTTTTGTTCCCTATCTAAAGGGCAGATCAAGGAAAATGGTACCAGTGCTTTTTACTAGCAGTGGTAATAAATCAAAGCTTCCCATGACTCACTTGTCCCAAGTATGTAAGAGCTCAAGTAGAAAGCAGATACAAGTGTAGTGGAAAAAAAAAAAAAAAAAAAACCAAAAAAACAAATTCAGGAGTATTAGACTAGTTTCAAAATTTCTTTTTTAACTATAAAATTTCTAAAAACTGATTATTTAACCATGAACTTAATTTTATAATCAACTATATATATATATTTAAAGATTTATTTATTTATGCATATGAGAGCTGGGGCACAGGCCAAAGGTGTAGGGGGTGAGAGGATTCATCAGAGACAGAGCAGGGAACAGAATAGGCAGATTGACCAAAGTACACTGCTGAGGGGAGCAGCGGGCGAGACAGAAGAGGCCTGCTGCGCCATGTGGGTTGCTCCCTGGTTGGCTGGGAATCAAACTTGTGCTGCAGAGGCTGCGGACAGCTTCATAGGTTGCGTCCCAACCCTTGCGCCACCAGGGTGGCCCCTGTAATCAATTATAAATGGAAAAGATGTTTCATGAACTTTCTGTTGAAAACATTCACACACTTTTTCAAAGAGACGTTCAAGAAATAAGTCTTCCTTCAGTCACCACTCTGCAGTGCCTCTTGTGTTACCGAGAGTCGGTGTTTTCAGCTCTGTGAGTGCTCGCATGCACACAGGTTTGTGTTTCATTACACAAATGCTAACACTTCATGCCCATAGCCACGCCCCTTGCTTCTCCCATGTGTGTATCCATACATACAGCTTGCCTTATTCTTTTTAAAGAATTGCTCAATAGTTCAACATATTGATGTACTAAAATTTGTTTATTTGACTGGCCCTCAGATGATGGGTATTTAGGATACTCGCTAGTGTGTTGCTAGTATATATGTAGTACCGAAGTGACTATTCTTATTCATGTTATTTTATGTACTTTCCTTAGTTTTTAAAAATTGTGCATCAAGTAAGAAGTGGACAAGCTAAATTAAAAAGGCCTTGAATGCTTGGAACTTGAGTGAAAGGCACATGTGAGTGCCTGCACACATCCACAGGTATACACACACTGAAAGCCCCGTAGCTGGGAAAGTACACCTAAAGAAACTAATCTGAGTGTTTGAAACAAGTGTAACTGTGGCTGAATAAAATGTCTTGATTTCCATATTTCTAATAAATTGGAGTAGTAAATTTCTCAAGATAGTCTTAGGATTTTTTCAATAATATTTGAATTCTTTGCCCATTACAAAGTATGTTGCTAGCTTAGAATCACAGATGTGTCCCAAGGATGGAAAAATAACCTGGAATGCCAAGAAAGCGCCAAAGACTGAGCATAATTTAGTCACATTATGGTCCTAACAACAAATCAGTAACTCAGAATATTTTGTTACTGGGTTGTTGAGCAGGGAAGACCCAGCATTCATCTGTGTGTCCCTGCGTTTTCTTTTTCCATTGGTCAGGGAGTTGCTAGGTAACAGCCTGCCTGTTACTTTGGATTAGGAATGCTGCCTTGTTTTCAGTTACCCACCACGACTTTCAGAAGAAGTCGCAGTTGTGGACCGCCCTGAAGTGGAAGAGAGATTTGTACAAATAAAGAGTGACAGTGAGGACTGACATCTGGGATTATTTCAAGATGAGCTTCCTATTGCCCATGCCTACTAGCAAAAAAGAAGTAGACCAGGTGATAAAAAGTCCTGAGGAGAAGGAGTTAGTCCTCAAGTTTGGGAGAGATGGAGATCCTGTCTGTCTGCAACTAGACAATTCGCTCTCCACAGTCTCTTCCAACCTGAGTAAAAAGGCTGCTGTGTGTCAGAAGGTTGTGTTCCAAAGCCCAGTTTATACACACTATTTTGACATCAGTTACATCCCATCGATTGTATTTTTCTTCAGTGGGCAGCATATGAAAGTGGATTATGGGTTTCCCGATCACACAAGGTTTGTGGGAAGTTTCAAAACCAAACAAGACTTCACAGATTTTATTGAAGTAATTTACTAAGGATCAATGAGGGAAAAACTTAAAAGTCTCATTGAACCCAGGAATATCCCTTAATGTGACCTTCTCTAGCAAGACATTTAGCACATCAACTACCGTCAGAGTTGAAGAGAAGCTTATTTGGGAACTGCTGTGCAATTAGGCTGGACTTCAGACCATGTCCCAGCTGGAAAAAGTGTAATCCTTCCCCCTAAGGAGAAAACCAGCTGGATGGTGAGGATCTGGGATGCCTGCCTGTCTCCCCCTTGCAGACCTCAGAAAAACCTTGCCAGCTTGCCCAGTGAGACTTCTTTCACCTTTTTATTGTGCTTTTCTTTATTAAGATAATACAGCATCCTCCTTTAAAAAATATATATATATATATATAAAACATTTTAAGAAATGCTCTGTAGTTTGTACTCTTTTAAAAATTTGTTAAAAATAAGACCAGACCATTTTCTTCCTCCTTCTTCCAAAATCTAGATTTTGGTCTTTTCAGTGGAACTTAGCTGACAAATATGTGGACTGAAATGACATGTCTGTGCCCTTCACTTTGGTGTTTATGTGGTAATGTGGAAGTGATACCAAATACAGTTAAGAATTTCCTATCAGATGCTGGAATTAGTACCTTTTATAAGCTAATTTTATGTATTTATAGAGCTTTGATATTATCAGTGACATAGCTAGATACATTAAGAAAGAAATCCTTTTATTGGGATTCTGTATTTTCCTATAGCTTAGGTATATGGACCCGAGAGTCAGACTGTCAGAATTTGAATACTGGCTCTGTCCATTGCTAGCTTGGTGACCCTTTAAATTAGTTGATTGTGCCTCCGTTTCCCTATTTGTAAAATGAAGATTATTAATAGTGTGAGATGATATGAGTTGATACATTCAAAATGCTTAGATCTGTGCCTGGCACTTAATAAACTACAAATAAGTGTTTATTCTTATTTTGTGTAAAGAAACAATATATTTAATTATAAAAGGTTAGATTGTAAGACAGTCACATTGTTCATCATAAAGCCCTCAAGGTGGAAAAAAGCTTGTTTTGGACTCTTTACAGTGTAAAGTGCTTTAGATTGGGAATACTGTTCCTATTACTTTCAATGAAGAGAGCGCCCTCTGGTGGAAATGTTTCAGTTCCTCCTCCCACTGCCTCAAGACACTTAACAGTGGGTAACTTTTTTTTTTCAGTATATCTATTCTTGAAATCTGGTTTGTAAGTAAAATCATATTTGGTCTGTAAATAAAATCATATTTTAATTAGGAGAGAGACACCTATCACTGAAAGGTGTCTAGAGGGCATGACTAAAATGGAACATACTTTTGTCAAACTGCATCTGTACGGGTGAAGAGGTTTCTCTCTGTAGTTTGATAGGTTTGTGGTATCTAAACTCACTGAATTTTCAAATATCTAAGTAAAATGAAATAGGCTTTGCAAGGGGAAAAAGCGAAATATTTCTTTTTTTGCACTTTATTTCATATTACATTTCAGTCTAGTTAGTAACTGGAGTTTTTATTTTTGTCAAGTCAGGTTGTAAGGTTTTACCCAATTCTGATTCTGTCTGAGCAGATTGGTGATCTTCAAGTCTCAGTCCCTGGAAATATCCAATGAATGGAAGAAAAAAGGAAGACCTTGAGGAATTTTAGGTAGTGAAGAGGAGAGATTATCACTGGTGGAAGCCATATCACTTAGGGACTGACAGCATGAAGGGGGAAACTTATTATGTGTGAATGTTGACTTTTTTTATAACACAAACCAGATAGGGTTTCATATCTTTTCAGTGGGTTGTTGCCTCAGTAGTTAGTTTCTGTACCCACTAAATTATTTTGAAGGAGGAAAAAACTGAAATAAAAACAAACAAAAATGACTCTACACAGAGTCTGTGTAACCGGGGGTGGGTGGAGATATAAAAAATTATACCTTTTGGTATAATTAATTTGGAGCCAAACTGAGCTTCTCAGGTTAAATAATAATTTTAGTTGTTACTTTATCTGACTGTGTTTCATTTTCCTATCTATAAAATTGTAATGATTGTACCTTTTTATAAAGTTGTTTTGAGTATTGGATGTAGTCCATACCTTGGCATGTGGTGTACAGAAAGTCCCCACAGAAATGTATTGCTATAACTATTCAGTTAGCTTGTAGCCTGGCCTCTTCTCACTTTTCTGGCCACTCTGTACTCTGAGAATGAAGAGCCTGTGTCGTGTTGTGTTGTGTTGTGTTGTGTACTGTTCTAAAGCCGTTCTGTTCCTCCCTTGGGGAAACCCAACAATGATTACTGCAACTTGGGATACTTTTGCTTGCATACTGCCAAAATGATCTTTAACCCTACGCAGCAATTGTGAAAAAAACGAAGAGGAGCACACTCATGACCCAGCTTCTTTCCCATCAGATCATTAACAGGGAGTCACTAAGGTTCAGGAGCACTTTGAATTCCAGTGAAGACCATGTCCCCTCTGTAGATCTAACAAAGTCTAGGTTTCCCCATTTCTTAGCACACAGATGCTAAAATCATGCAGAAACTTAAAATATACACATATTTGAAAAATTTTACCCCCCCAAGAGAAAGTGATATGCAATTTTGCTTCTTTGTTGATAATCCTAGTGATCATAAACCATGGTGGCTGGGTTCCTGTCACATATTAGCAATCTCTTTCTTAAAACAAGGCCTCAACTTGGGATGCTAGTAGCCTCCCAGATAGTACAGGAAAAATATTACAACGTTCACCAGATTGCCAGCCCTGAGCGTTTAAAAACACTTGGTAAATTGCAGCCAGACTATATTTTTAGCGCTGTGGGAATTTTAAAAAGATTACACACACAACCCCTCTTGAAGATGTACCATCCACCAGGCCAGAGTCTAAGTCTTCCAGGTCTGTATTGATCTGCACTTTAAATTATAAACACATGCTCCTCCTCCTCTTTCTCCTCTCCCCCTCCTCCTCCCTCCTCCCTCTTCATCCTCTCCCTCCTCCTCCCCCCTTTCCCGTCTGCTCCCCCCTCCTCCCACTTCTCTTCCTCCTCCTCCTCCTTTGCAGTACATGCTTTTCAAGACACAATGGAAAATCTCCACTATGCTCAGTTTGCCAAATTGGCTATTCTTCCCTCTAGGAAGTGTTCAAAAGCACTTAAAAACATTTTATCAAAATAAATAAAATAGCTAGGAACAGTGCGTCCTAGTGTTGCTTAATGTATGTATAAAGATAAAGATATTCTGAAAGTTTTTTTGAAGTCAGATGTATAAGTAAGCGATCTCATTTTTTTCTTTTTCCAGTGACTTTTTTTCTAATCAAATTTATGTGGTGAGTACATGGCAGACACATCTGATTACAGTGATTTTTTTCCAGCTCTGATGTTCTCACTACTTTTTGAACTTGTGGTTTCCGTAGTATAAATTAAAGTGCACAGGCACATACACTCACAAACCCAAAGACAAACTGAAAAACCTACACATTTTATGGGCAAGGATGGAGTGGGTAGGGTGCTGATAGGATTGCTGTGGTGAAAGTGGGTGTTTATGGAGGAGAAAGATCAGTGGACTTGGAAAAGGGGAAAAGATTTTCCTTTAAAAATTTCTTTCCTTGATTAGAAAAAGAAGGAACAAATTTCTAGAAACTGTATAAAATTCATATAATTTTCCTAGATTTGTAGGAAACCATCTGTGATCAAAATTAATTCTATTAACTTTTTTTTTAAAGATTTATTTTTATTTATATATACAAGCACTGGGTACAGTCAGAAGCACAAGGGGGTGAGAGAATTCACCAGAGCTAGAGCAGGGAACAGAGCAGGCAGACTGACGATACACTGCTGAGGGGGAGCAGCGGGCAGCAGGAGAGGTCTGTGCGCCATGTGGGACCCTCCTCTGGTGGCCGGGGAGCAGCCAGGAATCAAACCGGCACTGCAGAGGCTGCGGGCAGCTTCACAACCCAGTGCTCAACCGCTGCGCCACTGGGGAGGCCCTCTATTAACATTATTGAGGATTGTTCTTTGAACTTTCCAAAAGGAGATTCATTATAGTTCCTTTTTTTTTCATTTTTAGTATTTTATTTATTTATATATATATATTTTTACATCATTGTTCATTTTTTTTACACTGTTTGCTTTCTTTTCTCAGGTATAGTACCTTTCTTTTAAAGCTTTGGGGGGGGTTAGACCAAATTATTAAATAACTGAACTGTTATTTAATACAGTTCCTCTCGTGCAAGGAAACTGGTACATAGTAATATATAAAGAAACTAACTTTGTGTTTTCATAGTTATATTCCATTTATCTTAACATGGATGAATATTTTATTTAGATAAGTATTTGTTTATCTTGAAGATTTATCTTGAAGTTTGATATGAAGGCTTACAGATTCTATTATGTGAAATTGATATCAGTAGAAAATATCCTCTTTTGAAGAACTATCAACAACCATAAAAAATTCTTGATGCTACAATATTCCTAAGAAAAAAATTCTTGAAGATAGAATTTCTAGGTAACATTTTAGATTAACACTAGAAAACAGTGTATACCAAGTTGTGTTATTTGTTTATCCACATCCCTCCCCCATGAAATGCCTGTAATACAAAAGTAACTATATTTGCAACCATTAGATCATAATTATAAGGGCCATATGATAGAATAAGCAGGATAACTGTATTATATAAATCATAATTATTTTATAAAGCAGGCAAAATTATGCTGAGAGTATATGTGTGTGTGTGTGTATGTATATATATATATATATATGCACATACACTCAGCATATACTAAATAGGTTCTTTCTATTTTTCTTTAAAATGTGTGCATATATACATACACACATTTTTCTTTTAAAGAAAGGTTTTGTTTAAATTCTCTTTCCCCACAAGATGAAACTTCAGAGAAAAGGGAGTATGCCCTCCTGGGTATTCTAATCCTTTGCCAAGAGCATTATGCCTGACAGATGTACTATTTCATAGACTAAATATTGACTAAATCAATTTTGTATCTTTAAATGTTAATACTGATTATAACAAGATCTTTGGGTTGTACATAATTCCTATTATTTTTCTGTAGTTTAGTTATGTCACCGTTACAACAGCCAAAAGAATACAAGGGTGGGAGAGGAGGATAGAATATTATGCAGAAGACTCTCGGACCCTTGACACAGACAAAACCAGCTTTCACAGCTGGCCATGATCTCAGCATTTCCCCAAGTGTGGTCCAGGTCCAGCAGTAGTCAGATCCTTTGGGGCATTTGTTAAATGTCCATCTTTAGGATCCGAGCTTCTAATTGTTCCCCACGAACAGTGGTGGAATGCTGCTGGGAGATCCTGTCTGAGTACATGTAGAGTGTGGTCTGGAAATTGGTGTT